AGAAAAACAGACAAAAGGGTTCAGCCAGGATTTGATCATATTGCAGAGGAATCCAAGTTTATTACAGACTCTTTCTTCACCAGCTACAGTTCCACATGGCATTGTGTTTGCACAGACAGTCGTTCAATTCTCGTTAGTCCCAGAATGATCCTGGTCAGTGGCTGAAATATGTCCACACAACCCCATTTCCACTGTGGGGGCATCTCATGGATGGGGAGGTACCTTCAACTGCTGAGCCATGAGGAAGAGAGGCTGAGCTTGCCTCCCCACGTCCCCTCCCCTCACTCTCATCCTCCTTTCCAGGCCTTCCTGTGGAGGAGGCACACGTGGATTAGGAATCAGACTGCTCAGGTTCAAATCCTGGTCCTGCCATTTACCAGCTGTGTGACCTTGAGCAGGATCTGTAGTATCATTATGGCTCTGTTTTCTCCTCTCCAAAATGAGGATAATAACTTAACTTACCATGTTGTTATCAGCTCCAAGTAAGACAATTTATGTAGAACAATTTACACGATGCCTAAGACAGAGTGAGTGATCATCACAGATGGAACTTCTTCCCTTTTCTGCTTCAGGGTTCATGTTGCTTTGGAGAGGTGCAGAATGGGGCCCTCACTGAAGGAAAAGTCAGGATCTCTGGTCATAGGCTGTTTTCCCGTGCCTCTCCCCATCAAGTGATGGAAATTAGAGTCCTAGCTTGAACAGAACAGCATTAATCTGTTTCCAAAGTTTATAATTATATTTAGTGTCTCCCTTCACTAAAGTCATTCAGTTCACACCAAGAAAAGCTCCTCCTCTGTTGTTTTTGATCAGGATACTGATAGGAAGCTGATGGTGCCCTAAAACGAGTTTATCTGGTGGGGACCCATCCTCTTTTGAGGAGTAATAATCATAGGCAGCACTTACTGTGTGCTATGTGCCAGTGTATGAGGTGTATTATCTCTGCCCTTTACAACAGTCCTGTAAGGCAGGTATCATTCTCCCCATTTCCTATCTATTCCTCAGACACCAAGTCTGAGGAGGGTTAAGAAACTTAGGATATTACCAGACCAGGCATAGTGGCTCATACCTGTACTCCCAGCACTTTGGAAAACTGAGGCAGGAGGATTGAGGCCAGGAGTTTGAGACCAGCCTCTGCAACAAAGCGAGACCTCTTCTCTACAAAAAATAAAAAATTAGCCTGGTGTGGTGATGTGCACCTGTAGTCCCAGCTAATTGGGAGACTGAAGTGGGAGGATCACTTGAGCCCAGGAGTTCTAGGGCTCTGTAAGCTATAATTGTGCCATCGTACTCCAGCCTGGGAGACAGAGTAAGACATCATTTGGAAAAACAAAATATCACTGAGAATAGGCAACCTGAATTTTAATCAAAATTGAAAGCCTTTTTCAGTGGCTTCCGAACCTGGTAGTGCCTTAAGTCATTGGGTTACCAATTTGCTATGTTACCCTCCAGGCCTTCTGTGCAGAAATGCATACAAATGCAATACATATATTGCCTTAGAGGTTATTTTTTTAAACATAAATAGGACCAAGGGATTTAAATAAAATCTATAGCAGGCAGAGCTTGAGGCGAGGATAAAGTTCATGTTCCTCAACGGACATAAATTCCTACAGATAACTGCTGTATGCTCATGGTAAAGTTTTTGGGCACACTCCACTTTGGAAAGCAGTATCTCTATGCTTTGGTAATGAGGCAAGGGCCCAGGTTGGCTGGGTGGTGGAGAATGCTTCTACCTGCTTATAGGGGTTATTTTCCTTTGCATCTCACCTCTAGCCACCGCATCCGGCACCGGGAAATGAGAGGCAGTGGGCCCTCAGAGAACAGTTCTGCAGTGTCTGGAACAGCCTGGGCTATGGGAACCCCAAGAGGCTGTTCCTGAACATCCTGAGCTGTGCAGTTAGGGTAGAGTTCTGGCTTTGAAAATTCATCCAGAGTCCTAGGATAGAAGGACAAGGATAAGCAAAGTTCAGGAGAGTGATCAAGTGTTTTTAAACCTGTGGCATTTACCCATATACCCCAGTAGTGGGAAATTTAGAAATGCTTTCCGTTGAGCTATTGAGAGCCTTAAGAAAATTCATACATGCTAGAAAGACCCCCACCAGCTGACAGCCTGTCCTTACCCAGCACCAGGCCTGTGGCGGTGCCAGCCTCTGGAAGGCTACTTTGAGCCTGAATGGTTCCATCAGAGTAGACTGAATCCCTCTGGGGCTGTTGAGCAGCTTCCTGTCTGTTTCTTTCTCCTCTGAGTGAGCCATCTCTCCAGAGCTTCCCTTTCTTACCTGTGAAATGGGGCTCAGAGTCCCTGTCCAGGCAGGGTGACAGGTGTGTGTGTGTGTGAAGGTCTCTTATTCAGTGCAAAGAGCTTTTGGAATAAGAAAAAACCCTAATTTAATCTCTCTGTACCTCATTTCCCTTTGATACAGAAAATGAGGATAATCACTGCCTACTCCTTTTTTAACCCAAAAAGGACAATAAACTATACTCATGTGGGATGAAATTTGAGAAGGGCTTTGCATTCTGCAGCAGCAAGTGCTAGGTGATCACTGAGAGGTGCCGTGGGGACCTTTGGGAGGAACTGCTTTGGGGAGACCTCCGAGTGGATTCCCTGTGCACCTGCATGCCCTTTCGTATTGTGGAGGAAGGTGGAGGATGAAGAGCTCCTTGTCCGGCAGCCCCCTTAGCCAGAGCCAGGCTCCTCCTCTCAGCCCAGCATGTGAGGATAGGGCCAGGCAGATGTTCTGTGATTCTCCTCTTTCGTGGAGGGGACTATTGTGCCCCAGACCCAGCCTGTTTACCTTGGCCTCATTGTTGGTAGTGGGCTGCTGTCAGGGGCCATACCACACACAGCCTCTTCCCTGTCATCTGTGGTTTCTGCAGGGATTTGGCAGTCTCACAGCTGTCTGATTCCCAGCATAATCGTGGAGGGAAAGACTCTGTGATCAGCCTGCACTTTCTTCTCATTTTCTTACCAAGGGGATAATTAGAAGGAAGGAAAACAAATCTCACCTTGGTTAGATCACAGGGTGTGGGGCAGAGCTGGAAAGTATTGGTGATGTTTGCTCTGGGATTCAGCTCTCCAGAGCAAATAGCAAGAGAATTGGGACTAAGCAAGATCTCAAATAACACTCTCACCCATCTCCACAGGGGTCCGCTTTGCCTAGACAAGGTGGGCACACCCTGTGGTCTTTACCAGTCAGAGTAGCTGGTAAATGCTAGTATGTTTTCATGGGTTGATGAACAGTAAGAGTGGAGGGAATAGAAGTAAGCCTTCTGCCTTTGAAGTTCATTTCAACCAGGGAAGAAAAAACATAAATGTTTGCAGTAGGACAAGCTGCTATTAAGTGGTGGGCTTTGGGGTTGGTTTTCTTTCACATGCAAGAAAAGTGCAGATTAAAGTGTGGCATTGGCGCCATTCCAATACTTGCTACAGTGTTAGAAACCAGAGAAACCAGAAAGAGGTATTTTGA